CATCTTCTAGAGATTCGAATGGAAGCGTGCAATATTGTCGCATTCATGATCTTCTACGCGTTCTCTGCATCGAAAAGGCCATCGAAAACAACTTCTTCTTTAATACACGCCATGATATACACTCTAATTCATTTTCAATGCTTCGTAGACTTACCATTGACAACACTAGTCAATTTTCTTTTTCAAAAACTCCAAAACTTCGTACCTTGTTCTGTTTCTCTAACTCAAGAGAAGGATGGACTTTGATTCCTAATGAGATAGGAGATCTGAGTAGGTTGACTTTCCTTGAGTTGAGAGGGAGATTTGAAAGGATGCCTTCAACCATAAGGAATCTCAAGAAATTGGTGACATTGGATATTCAACAAGCAGATTTTAATTGTGGTTTGCCAACAACTATTTTCAGGATGAAGCATTTGAAGTATTTAATCTTAGGCCATGATAAAACGTTTGAGTCTAACAAATGCACAAATTTGAATGTCAGAAATGAGGTGTATTTACCGAACGTAGAAACTTTATATGGGATGCCTGGTACCATTTTGAAAGCTAGCTCATTAAAAAATCTCTCCAACTTGAGAGAGCTGTTATTATACGAGATTAATGACCAATGTATAAATGTCATATCTGGTAAAACACCCATATCGGAGAAGCTCCATGACTTGGAATTGGTGTTCACTCAGAATTTTGAGAGGTTAAACTTGTCCCGCTATGACCGTCTTGCTAAGTTGATTCTGGGTGCTGAATCTGCTTTTCCATTAATCAAGCTTGACATCATTGAATTCCCTCCAAACCTTATCTACGTTGGACTTTTGCTCATGGAATTCACTGAGGATCCAATGAAGGTACTAAAGGAACTACGCAAATTAGAGCTCCTCGAATTGATGTATTGTATATACAGCCAATCAATCACGATGGATTTCTCAGGAGAAAACAGCTTTCCAGAGCTTCGAGTGTTGAAAATTAATGGATCATTTCCGGAGTTGATTGTGGATCAAAGAGGGATGCCAAAGCTTAACAAGTTTGTGTGCAACCAAAAAGACTTAAATGTTCCCGAGAGACTACGTGAAATAATGGTGGTGGAGGACCTTCGAAGTTTGACCACCATTCAAGAGGTTAGTGTG